TTACACTGGCTAGGATTGGTGATTTCAAAGTAAAGGTTTGATGATTGATCTTATAGACTTTTAAGTTTACACAAAGAGTATATATTCAAAAATACCTATACTAATTACAAGTGTGCAGTGTCGTGTTGTCGCGGTTAGTGTATGAAGTTAAGATTACCTAAATGTTGCGCGGTGTTGACGCACTGGCGATGCGGAGGTCGAGAGTACTTTTATGGCCGTAATAGATTTTAAAACCGTCTTCGTGGATCTATATGGTAACGATGATCGAAAGGAACTGAAGCCCGATCTCACTAGAGTGCTAACGAGTAACTCTTTCGTACTAGCCCCCGAGCAACGAAAATCGTGGGTTTATATATCCCTAAATGTTGGTGGGGAACCGCCAGTGATTTCCATATTAGGAAATTTGACGGTTAGGATTTTCGTTGCTCTGAGGTCGACAGCGTGTGCCCTGGGAAAAGGGTAGATTAGAAAGTATCCCACGCAACGCGAGTCAAAGATGATATTAAGAGGATGCAGCTGCAGGATGCACTCCAGTGAGACCGAGCTCCAAAATCCAGAAGGGTAGATAAAATAAAATTAATGAACGCGAGCTTCTAAAAACGGAGAGTTTTTGTATACGTAACAAGTTTTATTGGCACTGGTCGATGCCAACTACAAATTCATACTAATTGATGTAGGAGCATTCGGTAAAAGCAGTGATAGAGGAACATTTGAGAGATCAAATATGGGTAGGAAATTTGCAAACAACGAATGTGGTATTCCACAAGCAGGGCAATTGCCATATGTGATTGTTGCGGATGAGGCTTTTCCGCTAAAGCCATACCTAATGAGACCCTACAGTAGGACAGCTATTGTTAGTATTGGAATATAGGTTTAATAAATGAGTCGTTTTAATAAGTTTGAATTCTACGTTTATTCAAACGGCTCGGAAGGACTCGTTTACTGTTCAAGAAATGGACGAGAACTAAACTGAAAAATCAGGCCTACGAGAAAGAGAAATCTAGCGTCTACTTAAAGAAAGAAAATTCTGCCTGCGCTCTATTTATTACCCTAGCCTTCGACGACAAACAGTCAAGGGACTTCAGACCTGGTGGTGCCAGTCCGATACTCTAAACTTACAGAGAAAAGGGCAGTGTCTCTCAACGCTAGATTCATTTTTGTTGAAGTCAAATTATATGTTTATAATTCAACAGTTAGCGATAATGACAAAATTTATAATTATCGCCACTCCAGAGCTCGGCCAATTCCAATGTCTTTGGAATTTTAGCCGGGCGTTAGAAGGTATTTTTAACAACAATTCAAACAAATCCCGAAACAGTGGATAAAATAGTTTTGGCCGCCACCTGTCTCCACAATATGCTGAAGGACAATACAAACAGCATTTCTTCATTCGAGGAACGTATTAGAATTGATAATGTACAAATTCAAGGGGTTGCCAACCTTGAACCCATACGCAGAAATTGTGTTCGAGAAGCCGTCGCAATTAGAGACAGCTACAAAAATTATTTCATTTCTAGAAATGGTTCAGCCAGCTGTCCTTGGCAGTGGGATTCAATTCGTAAAAGGAGAGTTTGAATAATATTCGTGTTTAAAATATATGGGTTTAAAAAATAATAATGATTGTTTTCTCACCTGGTATGCCAAGTTTTCTCCCATCTCGTCCCGAGCCTCCTTCCTTGAATTATGATTCGGGTATTCCCTATTCGTCGGCTCATATAGCACAGGATTAGCCCGAACATGCTCCATTGAAATCTCCTCCATCTTCATAAAGTCACTTTCACTAAAATAATGATTTACATTTCATATTAATTAATTTACATTTGATTTAAATTTAACTTCACACTGAAATAACGATTGGAATTTCGAACGCAGGTCCCACTTACCTCCGTATTTTCGAAATATCTCGCGAATTCACACTTTCTTTCACAAAATTGTCGCCGTCCGTAACTAATGTCCTTCATGCACGTTCGAATGTCACATTCGGAATGACCTGATCACACAGGTCATTCTTGACACCACCTCGGTGCTCGAAAAACAGGGAGGGGGTGTTTCGGTATACCTGAAAGGTTTGGAGGCCCCACAAACGGCAGAAAGGATGTACCGAATAACAATGTCCAACACGATCTTTTTTCCGCGATATCCACTATCGATATCACTATCGGTGATTCTTATAGGGTTCCTCGTCCTAAATACAAATCTAAAAGTGAAAATGCTCTATCACCCTTAGTTTTCGAGAAATTCGAGATTTTGTAAATACGGTCGATTTTGAGAGAAAACATTTACAGGACGCCCTCTTCACAGCACTGTACTACACTGACGGACAAAATTAAAGGGACACTATTTTAAAACGTCATATCTATGGGAGTTTTCAACCGATCTTCGGGAAACTTCGCGAGGAGTAGTTTTGAAGTGTCCTCTGGGTGTGTGCAAAGTTGCATTGACGAAGGTTGATGATAAAGGGTTAATTCACCTCCCCTAAAGGGGTAATGCAGAAAAACGGCACTTCAGAAGAGTCCAGGGGCGACGGAAGGTGGTGAAAAAATCAAAAAAACCTTAGGGGCGACTCTGTTTGATGCCCCCTACAAAATCCACCCCTTGAAATCGCTCTCGGACAAACCCACCCCTCACAACACCCCACACCCCCTAAAATCCACAATTTTTGGACGACAGTCTCGATTTTGAGCTCAATGCATTCTCTGGACTCCCCTGATCCAGAAAATGCCAACGCCCACGCCGTACGCCCCATAGGCACCCCTTAGAGAGATGGAACAGTTCGCCACTTTTCAACACCCTTCGTAAGGGAGCACTTCCGCACCTCGAAGGGCGATGAAATTTACCATGTTTATTCTCGGTACGTTAAGGATCAATGTCATTTAAAACTCGTTTCGAAAACTCCCCCTGGAGCTGAACAGGTTGGCCCAGAGTTAAGTGTGGTCCACCCACAGGTGTAGGAGTTGGAACGATGTTTCGTTGCGTGAAACACATGTGATACGGTCCAAGGCATTGGAGTGACACAGTTTTGATGTCTTTTCCCCGCGTGGATAGCATTAAAATACGAAAATGTCGTTTTTTTTGGAAAACCCACCCGCGAGTTTAGGCCTGTGTACCAGGTGAACGAGTAACCCCTCGTCAACGCCGTTCGTGGATTCGGACGCGCGAATGCTTTATAAACAGGTCCACAAAAATTCGGATATTTTGAATCACGCTTTCATTGTCAAATCGGAGTAAATCAACGTTCTTTGGTTTCGAGGTTTACGCGCTCAGTAATCGGTCTAAAATAAAAGGTCAATCTCACCTACGCACCGAACTCTTCCATTCAATTAAATAGCAAGAATTAAGCCGTCCGCTTTGGAAGGGTGTTCTTCTAACACACTCGATTGAACACAAGAAAATACCGTTTGCGCGACGCGTTCGTGTGAGAAACGCTTCAGTCGAGGGACGCGAGAGAAACCGTAGCGAGGTACAAGAATGGTTGGTTGCGTAACTCCAGGCGTTCCTGAATGACGGCTCCGTCCGGCCGACTTAATACTCTTTCAAATCTACTCCGATTTGACAATGAAAGCGTGATTCAAAATATCCGAATTTTTGTGGACCTGTTAATAAAGCATTCGCGCGTCCGAATCCACGAACGGCGTTGACGTGGGGTTACTCGTTCACCTGGTACACAGGCCTAAACTCGCGGGTGGGTTTTCCAAAAAAAACGACATTTTCGTATTTTAATGCTATCCACGCGGGGAAAAGACATCAAAACTGTGTCACTCCAATGCCTTGGACCGTATCACATGTGTTTCACGCAACGAAACATCGTTCCAACTCCTACACCTGTGGGTGGACCACACTTAACTCTGGGCCAACCTGTTCAGCTCCAGGGGGAGTTTTCGAAACGAGTTTTAAATGACATTGATCCTTAACGTACCGAGAATAAACATGGTAAATTTCATCGCCCTTCGAGGTGCGGAAGTGCTCCCTTACGAAGGGTGTTGAAAAGTGGCGAACTGTTCCATCTCTCTAAGGGGTGCCTATGGGGCGTACGGCGTGGGCGTTGGCATTTTCTGGATCAGGGGAGTCCAGAGAATGCATTGAGCTCAAAATCGAGACTGTCGTCCAAAAATTGTGGATTTTAGGGGGTGTGGGGTGTTGTGAGGGGTGGGTTTGTCCGAGAGCGATTTCAAGGGGTGGATTTTGTAGGGGGCATCAAACAGAGTCGCCCCTAAGGTTTTTTTGATTTTTTCACCACCTTCCGTCGCCCCTGGACTCTTCTGAAGTGCCGTTTTTCTGCATTACCCCTTTAGGGGAGGTGAATTAACCCTTTATCATCAACCTTCGTCAATGCAACTTTGCACACACCCAGAGGACACTTCAAAACTACTCCTCGCGAAGTTTCCCGAAGATCGGTTGAAAACTCCCATAGATATGACGTTTTAAAATAGTGTCCCTTTAATTTTGTCCGTCAGTGTAGTACAGTGCTGTGAAGAGGGCGTCCTGTAAATGTTTTCTCTCAAAATCGACCGTATTTACAAAATCTCGAATTTCTCGAAAACTAAGGGTGATAGAGCATTTTCACTTTTAGATTTGTATTTAGGACGAGGAACCCTATAAGAATCACCGATAGTGATATCGATAGTGGATATCGCGGAAAAAAGATCGTGTTGGACATTGTTATTCGGTACATCCTTTCTGCCGTTTGTGGGGCCTCCAAACCTTTCAGGTATACCGAAACACCCCCTCCCTGTTTTTCGAGCACCGAGGTGGTGTCAAGAATGACCTGTGTGATCAGGTCATTCCGAATGTGACATTCGAACGTGCATGAAGGACATTAGTTACGGACGGCGACAATTTTGTGAAAGAAAGTGTGAATTCGCGAGATATTTCGAAAATACGGAGGTAAGTGGGACCTGCGTTCGAAATTCCAATCGTTATTTCAGTGTGAAGTTAAATTTAAATCAAATGTAAATTAATTAATATGAAATTTAAATCATTATTTTAGTGAAAGTAACTTTATGAAGATAGTGGAGCTTTTGATCGAGCATGTTCGGGCTAACCCCGTATTATACGATTCGACGAACCGGGAGTATCGGAACCAGAATGCACGGAAGGAGGCTTGGGACGAGATTGGAGAAAAACTTGGCATGCCTGGTGAGTGAAAACAATCATTATTATTTTTTCATATATTTCATTAGTTACTATTTATAGAAGTTTTTAAGGGGCTCAAACATCAAGAAATGGAAAAAAATCACTGTAAACAAAATTTTTTTAATTAAAATTTTAGCGATTCTGAACAGTTCTTTGCAAAAAGAATTAAATTTTGAGCATTAGAAGTGTTAAAAAAAACTTTATGATAATTGACTGTCTTTTTCACATTTTGATCAAAAGAAATACGATTAGATTACACTAGTTTACAGCCAGAAAGTACATTCAATGCCACTATTTCTTTCTTATGTATTTTGGTCTGTAAAACTCGAAAATCGCAATACATTTTTCTATGCATGGGTTTCTTGTATATGAATTTAAAAATTTTTTTTCGATTTTTTTCTGTGAGATGAGACATTTTAGATCATATCTCGAGTTAGTAATGTCCGATTGGGTCGCGCAAGATACCATATTAAAGGTAATCGAATTTCCAACAATTGCTCCTAACATTGTTGTCCAATCGGTTCAATAGTTATGTGTTATGGGTCAAAATATATGAGAAACTTCAATTTTTTGGGCTAAAATAGTTAATAATAAATAGTTAAAATGATTAATTTATTTTTATAGAAAATGATAGTATTTCGTTTGTATTTGATTGTACCACCAATAGTTTCGTTTGTACCTTCATCATTTAATAATTAAAAAAAAATTAAAAAAACGGTCAACATTCGACATTGAGATTTTTAAAATCTATTTTTCCCTATTCTTTAGAACCGTTTGTACCCGTTTGTGCCGCTTTTCGTTTCTTTTGTGCCTCGATAGTTTTAATTTTACATTTCTAACTCGAGATGTGGCCTAAAATGTCTCAACTCAGAAAAAATGGAAAAAAAATTTTTAAATTCATATACAAGAAACCCATGCATAGAAAAATGTTGTATTGTGATTTTCGAGTTTTACAGGCCAAAATACATAAGAAAGAAATAGTGGCATTGAATATACATTTTTTGTATTTTGAAAACTAGTATTATCGAGCGGAAAATACAAATTTTTAGTTTTTTGCATTTCCTGGAAAATTGGGTTTTTGGTACAATAGTACACTTATCTCTGGACCAAATTGACATTTCTTAATGTTCCTGGTTACAAAATTAACAGCAATGATGGGACTAAAAACAGACCGAGTAGTTTTTTTTTAAATATTCAAATTTGAAAAAATAGTTTTCGATGTTTGAGCGGCGGTGATTTTTTTTTTAAATCAAAACATTAAAAAACTACTCAGTCTGTTTTTAGTTCTATCATTTCTGTACATTATGCAACTAGAAACAATTAAAAATATCAATAAGATCCAGAGATAAGTGTACCTTAAACATTTTTTTTCACCTGAATTTTTTTCAACAAATTTTTGTGGTTACTTCCAATGCTCCGAATTCGATTCTGTTTGCACCGAACTGTTCAGAATCGCTTAGATTTTAATTTGAAAAGTTGAAAAAATGTCATTTTTTTCATTTTTTGATTGGCAAGCAAGTGGCCTTTTACTGCCTGTGGCCGCTAGAGGACAATAGAAGAATAACTAAGTAATTGATAAACAAAGACTAAGTTCCTGAAATACTAAAGTAATTTTTCTGTTTCAGGCAATGATTGTAAAGAGGCTTGGAGTAAGCTACAGAATGCGTTCAGCCAAGTGAAGCACCGAAGAGCCACCAAATCAGGCCTGGCAGCCAAAAATTTGCCGAAGTTGAAATTTGGAACTGAGATGGCATTTTTAAATCCAACACTTATCTCGAGGCAGATGTGTGGAAATGTGGACAACACTTCTACAGAAAATCATCCAGAAACTGCGAATACGGCAATAGGAATAGAGGCGGAAGAGGATACCGCGCCTAGAATGGATTCCCTATAAACGGGAAATCCATCACAGCAGAAAAATCCAGGAAGGCCTATGGCTAGGAAGCGAGGACTGTCGTCCTCAATCCAGGAGATGGTTGGTGTAATGGGGAACAACCAGCGGTTACGGGCCCAGATTTTAGAGTCCTCATCTGCTGCAGAGAAAGTCGAGGACGACGATGACCTATTCTTCCGGAGTATGGCAAAACATATAAAAAAACTGCGTCCCGTGGAGAGAATTCGAATCAAAATGGAAGTGGGGAATATTGTTTTGGAGGCACCGTTACAAGCTGCCCGCGGAAATATAGAAGACTCATCGTTACAACTCCAATATCCCACCAATGCCTCAACCTCTACATTTACAGCATCATCATCACCATTTAATGTTAGTCTGGATTGGTTAGGCGAATATCAAGATAAAAAAAAAAATGATTTCTAATAGTATGATAGATTTGTTATAACGTGGCAGATTGCCGCGTCACAATGTGGGCGAACTCTCCGCGGGGAACGAGACCGACCAAGATCGCGAGCGCCACCAGGGTAACCCAGGGTTATGACTAATCTACGTGTCTGAAGGGCAATAGCGTTGGGCTAACGAGGGCAACACCGAGCGATGCGGCTTAGAGGCTACTGATCCCGTCCAACCCGGCGCCGATTGCACGGACTGGCCAGACGAAGCTCAAATGGGCAGGGGCTGGAGGTTCTTGGTAACAGCCCCTGGACTCTGCTACGACCTCAGGGGGCAGGAAGCCGTTTAGGGCAGCGAGTGCACCGAGACCCGACTCGCTCCAGAGCCTTCGAGGGATGCCAGCACCGACACGCTACCAAAATCGCCGAGGGACGAGACTGGACGACCGCCGATGACGAGCGCGCCGATAACGCGATTTGAATTTGGCCGCCATAGAGTGCCGCGTGCCGCCGACCATTGAGGTGAGGCTGAGGCGAAGCGCGTGAGCCAACGCGTGCGACGAGCTCGCGTATCTCGTCTTATTTTGTCATCGACGCACGTGCGGAACGGTACGGTAAGCGCTTCCTCCTTTACCTCACGCTCGTGGATAGGATATCGTAAATTGGTCGGGTTTCCTGGTGGCTGCCGAGCACCCCGTCGGGCGAAATAGCGTAATCAGTTTCAATCGCGTTTTCGTAGGTTATCTAGACGAAATAACAAACATCTAGTCGCGAATCTATTGTAACGCGCACGTGTTTAGATCGCTGCCGGTTAACGTTCTCGTCGAAGAGGTCGAGCCCACCGCGACCGCGTCAAGACTGTCCGAACATCGTTTCCAAAGTCGCTTTTGTGTGAATCGTGACGGAATTTGGGCTAACGTGAACGAAATCAGCACGTGTTATCGAAACGTAGTTCTCGTGTCGGTTATCAGTCGTCCCGGTGACCTTTGACGCTACGGCGGCTCGGCAGCGTACACCGAATTCTGTAACATCTTTCGCATACAATATACTATATTATTTTAAATGAGTGCTGTGTTAATCCACCCTGTCTTGCCGTGAAGACGACTTTCTCAGACTTCCTTTCCTCGCCGACGATCCACGTCCCTCTCCGTGATCCGGATCGCCAGCCGTGGTAATTTTCGCGAAGTTCGGCTTCTCACCCCGGTATCTCCTGATACCTGGCGCTCGGGTTTTCCCATAAAGGCGTGAGGAGTCGGAAAACTTTCATTTTGCACGCTTCCCGACGCGAATTGCGGACCGTGTCGGGAAATCACGTTGCAATATTTTACACAAAAATATAGACGCTTAAAGTAATTTCACTTTATTTTTTGAAGTTTTTCTTCAGAAATTCAATCTCATCACAGATTTCCACAGGACAGCGATATTTACAGCCATGGAGCTCCTGAAATCTGTGATAAGATTGAATCTCAAAAGAAAATCTTCAAGTTGTAGGTCGTGAAGGTGAAGGAACAACGAGGATTCCATTTGCAATGACTTTTTATTCGCGACTTTTAACGGTCGTACTTGACCACTAGTCAACTCCACAGGACGACTCGTTAAAAACTGATCGTCCTTAAAATTTCCTTACGCACCACCACTTCCTTGCGCCCTTAGCGCGTTTCCCCGGGAAGGGGGTGTGCTGAGGTGGGGGAGTACCACCGTTGGAGATTTGGCAATGCAGCGGGATTTCTTCCGGGCCTCAGGTCTCGCATCGTTACCCGCTGAGGGTTGCTTGACTTTGCCTGGTAGCCCTTCGGAAGACCCATGGTTTACGGCATTTGCAATATGCTATTGAGGCCGTAGCTAAGTGTCGCAAGGAAACGAACATCTGTTAATAACGGAAAAATACAGCTTTCTCAAAAATAGCTTCGTCGTTTGCTTGTCGTAAATCATTCTAGCTGTTTGCACGTGAATCGTTATTTTCGGTGCGCGCTAGCCGCCCCATTATCCCTTGCCAGTGCAAACGTAATACTATTTACATATTTACATTTTTACATTAGAAGCTGATCTCGTACTTATAGAATACTATTTACATTTACTCTACTTAATAACTACTACTTACAATAAAGATTATGCTTCTAATGCGTAACTTCCAAACGATCTGGGAATCGTACACAGAAGTAAAGGTAAGCGGGTTCTAACTCAGGAGCCCTGAGGGGGGAGCGGGGGCGGGGGGACCGAGGGCGAGGGGCGAGTGGTGGGAGGTCGGTAATTATTACCTACGGTCGGTAAGGTAGAGGGGGACACCACCGGTCGGTAATTATCAGTGATCGGTAAAAAAAGAAGAAGAAGAACATCAATTGTTCGACGTTTGGTAAGTTATTTGCGCGATACAATTGCTCGAAGTCTAGATATTAATGAAACGGCAGAGGTGACGTCATTCTTTTAATGATGAGAATACTGGAGAACGTGCGAAGGAAATATTACACCGGATAAGAATATGATATGGAAGGAAATACGCTAGAAAAAAAGAAATACACATATATCCAAGCTATTTCTTTTTATATCTCCTAAGCACGCAGTTTTGTGTATAAGTTTATATGCGTATACAAAGCTTTCAAGTTATTAATTATTTTTATAGTAATATAAAAGCGAAAGATTTTGGCTCTTCGAGTTCTCTAAACTTATTAGGTATACCTTGCTATTTATATTATATTTTTATTTAAAAGATAAAATATAAGCAATCATATATATTTAAATTTAAGAAAATACATTTCATCGTTGATAATAAACTATATAATAACTATATAATAATTTACATTAACGTGCATTAAATTTACATGCACGCGATATATATACTTTAAAATAAAATAAAATAATGATTTGCTTGCAATATTTTACACAATGAAACGAAACGAAACGAAACGAAACGAAACGATATCTTTGAAACTACGCCACAATGCGAGGTGTCCATCTCTTACATATTACAAATATTGCTGATTCTGCAGTTTATGTGATTTTGTGCACAACGTTGGACAATGGACAGTATTCGATGACGCGATTATGCAAAATAAGACAGTATGCGGTAGTATTTGCTCGCAGTCCTTTTCTTTGCAATCAAGTTCTATTCGCACATCTACGATGGCGCTCTTGATTGGTTCGTTCTATTGCGAGCAATCGATGACTACAAACGGCCCATGTAACAAAAAGTTGTCCGTGTTGCAAAGCGTTTCATAACAGTTGTATCAAAAAGAATAACATATCTGTTTCTATCAAAATCAAGATTCAAGTCATCGTATGGATAGAAGTCAGAGTTTAGATAAAGTTTCACGTTGGTCAATTTACATGCATCGAAGTTGCTTGCATCTTCAGACATGATATTCTTTCGACCAGTCTGCAATGCAAAAATGACGTATCGCGGTTTCTCCAGCTGAGTCGCAGTTTTAACGGTCCACGAATGTTTTGTCGTACTTTGCAACAAAGGGTACTCGTACAGGTCCCACGAACGAAAACTCATGCTTAGGTATTGCCCGCTTTCCAAAATTCGCAACAACGATAGTTTATTCGTATCATTCAGTACGACGTGAGGCATTCGCCACTGTATCTTTAATAATTCGACCACCGGTTCCAGCGTGGAATCTCCAACGATGCAATTATTATTACTGCGCGCGCGTATAAGAATGAGTTCGTGACGAGCGTTGATTACTATACGCCTGTAATCTTCGCAAAAAACCAACAGCATATTGAGCGGTACACAAAAGTTAAAGAAGAAACAAAATTTTTGTAGGTGCTTGTTACTTCAACGTTTCTGTTGCGATCAATCTCTACACCATTGAGTTCATATCGAATTTCATCAAACATAAAGGCGACACAATTGTTTCCGAGGTGTGCTTCCACCCCTTCCTTTGGTTTCTTTAATCTGAAACTTCCTTCAACGTATAGAAAGCTCTCGCATGGTAACGTGTACAAATCCTGCTGTTGTATAGGTATTCGTATCTCATCGTTGTGTTCAAACGTTGTGTTGGCGTATGGGTTGTATGTGTGAGTCTCAATCTTGGCGATGCTGTCGTCAAAGATCGGTTCGCCTCCAATGTTTAAGATATTAGCTATTTCATATAACGAAACCCAACGATTTCAGAAATTCAGCATTCGATGCAGTCAGCTTCGCAGGTGATCGAATTGTCTTTTCGCCCAATGGTTTTAGACCGCCAATATTCGATACAGTGAGTTTCGCAGGCGATCGAATTGTTTTCTCTTTGTTTTCACATGTCGTCTGCTCCGCTTCGTTCAATACAAACGTCTCCCACTACGGGCGTTGTCTCTGTACATGCAGTCGAACGGTGATCTGCTCCCCTCGAAAATCTAACAATTGACTGTCTTGATCCACGACGCGAATCGTCAAATCCGAAATGCTTCGTGCAGTGATCGGAAGGTAAATGATCTGTGTCGGTCTTTCCGATATCTTATATCCAGGTGGAACGGTAGGCGAAAACTCGTGTATCGTGTGCACGCTCTTGTTATTGCTGTAAGCACCAGCCGTCACGTTGCATTCAATGCGAATAATATTTACATTCATTATATTGATTGGCGCATCTGATTCGTGCCATTTTCGCGGTTGCAGCAACCAAT